CAGTGATAGTGTCATTTAGGATGGTGTTCCTCGTCTGTGATACTACCTGCGCCCCACCCGCCCCTATTCATTTATCTTCTCCCTGCTCTGATTTTTTTTAATCTACTTGATCATGTACTGATTTTACCTTTTTGGAAAGAGGTAAGTGAGAAAATGTTAATCGACTTGTTTTTTTCCAGTCCCAAGCTTTAGAATATCCTACCGAGTATCCTGTTTGGCCATGTTCTCGTTCGCCAATGTCTAAGACTCCGTTTCAAATTTGCAAATACCAATTGTCAGACGCCTTTATGTCGCAAACATCCGGCTACCTCAGCACTGCTGAGGCCGTGAGCACAGAAATCCACTTTCGTTTTAAGACCCAAGCTGACTGAGAAGGCGGCGACCCATGTTCACACCTGAAGGTAGCTAAGCAAATTCTTGGGTTCACAGAATGGCACCGCAGTGACTGAATCAGTGGAATAACAGTGCAGTTGTCTGCTCAGGCGGCTCGATCCGGGCCCCGCAACGATGCTGGTTCCGCTTACTAGCGAAGTGAGCGTAAAATCGACTAAGGATGACGGACAAAAATATCAGTCTGAAACATTGAACTTCGTGGAGCACGCCTTAAACTTTGGCAACGCTTGAAAACTACCAATTTATCCACGAAGTTTATAGTAGGTTCTTTAAGCTCGCAATTTGATTTGCGACTATTTCTGACAACTTTGTCAAGATCGATAGCTGGCTTGAGCACTTCGAGCACCTCAATTTTGATTGGCAACCGACTGACCCTCGCCTTCCGTGGTAGCGGTTTACCCCGCTCCAGCCTCTACTGTTATCTAATCCACGTTATGCGGGCGAGCTTTCCGCTGCAATACAGAACAAGGAGCCTGGAGAGGACTGTATTCCCAACACAATCCCAATGAGGTGGTTGAGCGAGTTTAAGTGGAATAAGTAGTTTGAGTAGGGTTCGAGCATCCTTGCGCCTGTGTTTGGGGAAGGCAATAAGACAAAACGCGGCAAATAACGCCACAGAAGCATTACCGGCGTTGCTACTGTCCTTCTCAGACGCCTCTGTTCTGTGACGCTAGAACGTGGCCCAACGAAGCAGAATTCAAAGCTGCATGTGCCAGATATTCAAACTGAGGCACATTCTGCAATTCCGTTAAGCAACCAGCAGCTATTTGCTTTGCTGATTTAGCCGCTGCATTTCTATTCCGTCTATCATGAGTCCCTGGGACGAATAAAGGAAACACACGGCTTGCCGGCCAAAATCGTTACTGCGATCAAGGCC